ACACACCTAATGGAAGGGATATGAGCAAGCACTCGAAGAAGAACATCCCTTCCAGCCAATTGTTAGAAAAATAAACAAATCTCCCTTTCCTTTTAGGCTGCTGGCAATGAGCACAAGCATACTGCCTCCTACTCACTGCAAGCCCAGGTCAACAATTACTACTCTTGCTCTGTCCCAGTCTCTCACATGCTGCTTCCATCCTCCTCAGTGTCAGTACCCCAGAACCACTTTCCCTCCCATATTCCACACATCAGTGACACATTCCTACTTCCCCTCCAAGTTCTCCACCTTGTTCCTACTCCATGACAGCCACAGCCCCCTCTCACCCTATGCCATCTCCTTTCTGCTGATCTAGACACTCCAGGAGTACCCTCCAATCCCCTTTCTCTCCACTGAATGCCCCTGTCCCCTTGTTCTTCCTTCCTCCTCTCCCATCCATTGCTGCCTATCCTCACCGGGAGGAGCTTTCCCAAGACTGGATTCAGGGAACTTCCTTGCAAACTTCCTTTCTCCCTCTCACACTTTTTCCACTGAGACAAAGGATAAAGGCAAAGAGTTTTTACTCTTCACAGCAGTCGGGGGTGGGGTGGGGTGGGGTGGGAGCGGAGGCAATCCTGCTGACACGGCCACCTGGCAAGGGAGAGGGACAGTTTGCTGGTGGGGGGGGAAGAGGGGGAAAAGGAAACCAAGTAGCTTTGCAAACTGGCATGGAGTCTCACCATCACTTGGTTTGGAAGCCCTCTCAAAAACAGAGAGCAGGGAGCTGCCACTGCAGGATAAGCTTGCCCTCCAATCCCCTGACCCAGCCTCCCCTCAATGGTAATTTTTTTTGGAACGGCGGAGGGCCCCAAGTTTCAGATTTTGCTCTAGACTCCCAAAAACCTCCGAGTGGCCCTGCCTGCTGTGAAAGTCAGGAGGGAGGACTTGAAACTGTCATAAGTATTCCTAAGAGTATATTCCGTCTCTAATTTATTTGACTTATGTCTATAGCTGTTGGAGGAAGGAGGCTCAGATTTAGAGAATATTCATATTTAGGGTGGGGGGAAATGTCAGAATATCATCTAAGGAGGAGTCCTCAATAGAAAATCATCCAAATCTGAATTTCATCCTATCTAATCTGGGTTTTACATTTTTTGCAGTAATAGTTTTGTCTTTATGCATCCTCTTAAATGTTTATTTGCAATGTTGATAGTGGCAATGCCTTTGTATTATGAAGTTTTTATACATTTTCAATAAGATGTTGCCAATGTGGGTGGGTGTAAAAATGTTGCGATAGCCCTTTCTACTGGCTGCATAAAGATGGATTTGGCCAGTGCCTATATTATTATTTTACATTATTATATAACCAGGGCAGTCAGCCATTAGGAAAAAACATTTTACTTCAGCAATATATGTTTTCTGCTATAGTACATATTTCATAAGTATTTTCTATAGTACCTCTACTTCACTGATTTCATCCAGTGATCCCAATAAGAGAGAAATTCTCAAGTCTTGGACCTTGCATTCAAGAAGCATATTATGTCTCTCTAATCTTTTCTGTTCCAGAGAGGTTTCAATAGATATAGCTTCCTTTTGTAACTTACCCATTTCCCTGCAACCATACAAAGGTATGAATCTGTTAAACACTGGCATTATTAAAATTATGTAACTATCAGGCAAGCACTAATAGAAACAAGAAAGATTTTTCTACTGTAGTCTACATTATCCATTAAAAGGTAAGTACTTGGTCCTAGTAATGATCTGAAGTACTATATAATGCATTAGAACCAAGAAGGAATTAAAGTTAAGCAGACCAGTAAAGTCATTTTTCAAACATGGATTCTTTTACCAATACCAGAGGGGTGGAAAATAACAGTCTTGATATATCATCACAGTTAACAGTTTCAAGCTTTCATAATTTAGCACACTTACTACATCAACTATACTCTCTATCCTACCAGCCCATACTTCTGCTCATGAAGATTTCTTCCCTTCAAACCACGAACAGACATAGTATCTTCTCCTAGCATTTATTCTACTTGAAATACAATTCAAAATCACCTAATCAATTTACTGTAAAAATATAAGTGGCTAAATAGAATAATAATCCTAATAGTTGGCAGTTAACAACTATTTATCATAATTATTGTTATACAATACATTCTGTTAGATGGGTATCAAACTTATGAATTCTTATAACTTTTTTATGAATAAAGTATACTGTGAGAAATATTTCACAAATTTTCTTAGCTAACACACACGTTTATCCCCAAAAAGGGCAATGAATCACTGGATTGAACAATGGCTGATAATCAATATCTGGCTAATAATGACCATATATTGATTCAGTTGGAGGTGCTAAAAGAGAATATATGCACACAGATTAAGCAGGATTGGGGAAGACAAGATAGACTAGACTAAACTAAAGGAGGAACCGTTCCCAGAGAAGAGGATTTAGCAGCAGAAGCAGGACAAGAAAGCGGTCTAAAATTAGTATTTCCCTCAAGATATGCAATACCTGACAGGCACTGAGTGTAGCACTGTGCACGCAGAAAAATCACCCTAAAATGTTAATCAAAAATTCAAGGTTTAACTATTTCTAACTATGAGAGACCAGCATGAGACCTAATCGGGGGTGGGCATATTATCCCACATTTACCCACTACGGGTTCTTACACCTTCCTTTGTAGCATGCTGGCCACTGCTGGAGACTGGATCACTGGACTACACTGACCTCAGGTCTGATCCAATATGACAACTGACTTCCCACAAAAGGTTCAAGCTTCTAAAGTGCTGACCTCTTATGAAATTACTAAACTAATTATTATACCTAAGTACAGTTAGTAGTTACCTATTAAGGGTTAATAATTTCTTCCTTGATTCCTCAACTTCATTTTGGGCTTTTGTCACCTCAGTTTTGAGAGTTATTAATTTATCCTTAAGATGCTGTTGTTCCTCCATTATTTCATTCACCATTAGTAGACATTCTTCCTCAGCCTGCATAAAAATAATTCCATATTTTTAATGTTATATTTTATTTTAAAAGCCTAATACGCCATTATATAGCAAGAGGGAATCAAGGTTTAAAATCTTTATACCATATTACATTGGTAAAACAAACTAGCTGTCAGTTTCTTTATAAAGCTATTCATGCTGTGAAACTATTGCACTTGAAAATACTCAGCTACATAGATTCCTATATATCCAATGAGCTATTCATGGTACACCTCTACCCCAATATAACGCTGTCCTCGGAAGCCAAAAAATCTTATCGCGTTATAGGTGAAACCGCATTATATCGAACTTGTTTTGATCCGCCGGAGTGCGCAGCACCGCCCCCCCGGAGCACTGCTTTACTGTGTTATATTCGAATCCATGTTATATCGGGTCGCGTTCTATCAGTGTAGAGGTGTACTTTCTTAAACATACACCCAAAAGAATTTTACTGAGAGCATATATAGTCTTAATCTCAAAGGATTATCCTAATACATAGTAAAGACCAATAAACTATCATCCAATAGTTTTGTACAGATTGAAACCACGTTATGTCTTAAAAGCATTTCTACTTATTGTGTATAGCAAATGAAAATTTAAAGAAATTAAAATGTATAAAAGTTACAACACATCTATAATAATTGTATAAAATAATAATAAATGGATAAAGGTTAAACACATCTATATATTTGTCTATGTCAGGGAGGAGGTCAAGAAGGACACCTCTAGTATCACATGCGAGACATCCAGCCACCAGGTAAGTGCTCACAAGATATGGGGTGGTACCATGACCAATGTGCTCAAATAATGCTTAGCTGGGCAGTACCCCACTGTACTGGGCACAGAAGGAATCTGGCAAGCAGCGTCACGTAGGGACACACCTACATGCGTCCTACTGGTCCCAGGCATGTGTGAGTTATCATGCACAAGTTACTGAAGGGCTCTACATCTGTCTTCTGGCAGGTATGCTCACTCTGACCAAGAGCTGAGTATAAATTCTATGCACCTCGAAAGTGTGAGAGACTATTTTTCATAATTCACTAGGAGCTCTAATTAGGAGAGCAAGGAGATGATTCAATGTAGGGCTGTCTTGGTCTCCATCCTGGGACCTGACCCTGATCAGCCTATCATCTAGGTATGGCTAGACATGAAGTCCCTATTTCCTTAGATATCTCACTACCACTGCCAGGCAATCTGTGAATACACTCATTGCCATGGACAGACCATAGGGTAGGACTCTGTATAGATAATGCTTGGGTCCCTCTATAAATCTGAAGGACTTTCTATGAGCCAGGGAGATGGCAATAGGGAAGTATGGATATTGCAAGTTGAAAGTCATAAATCAGTCTTAACCTCAAAGTGATGCACGCAAGCATTACCATCCTGAATCTGAGACAGCATATGTATCTGTTGAGCCTCCTCAGGTGTAAGATAGGACCAAAAAACCTTTTTCTTTTTTGGAATAGGAAAATACAGAGAATAGACTTTCTTCCCCTGTATTCCTGAGGCAACTCCTCTTTTGCTACTAGCCAGAGTTACAAGGACAATTCTGTCTGTGAAAGGCTCTCATGAGAAGGGTCTCTGAAGAGGGATGAGGAAGAAGACAGGAAGAGGGTAGGGAGAAGAATTGGATGGTATAGGCATGTGGCAACATCTAGCACCCATTTGTTAGTGGTGATGTCCAACCATGCCTGGTGGGATGAGGTGAGGCTGGTGCTCAAGAGATTGCTCAGTTGATTGGTGTCGGTGCAGCTTTCAACCAAACTATCAAATTTGGCAACGCATGAATGCAGCGCTGTGCGTGGCTGGTGTCGAGGAGAGTTATCACCCTCTCCTGTACTTTTATAGATTTTTAGACTGATTGGGATATGGAAATGTTTGTTGCCTATCCTGGTGTTGTGATTGACGATGGTACACTGGAGGTATACAGATTCCTGGGGACCTCCACATCTCCTTTGGAGTCCTTTAGCGAGTACAGGGTGCTGTTTTCTCACTAAATAATTCTGATCCTTCAAATGGTAAATCCTCAGTTATAGCTTGCACGTCATGACGAATGCCTAAAGCCAGAATGCTATTTACAGGATAACAGAGGTGGCCATGGACCAGCCTGTGGTATCTGCCACATCCAATGCAGCCTGAAAAGCTGGCTCTGTTACCAGCTGGCCCTCTGTAACAAGGTCATTAAGCTATTCTCTCTTCTGGGGGGTGGGGGGGGGGAGGTAGAGGAGGGAAGCAGGGTCTGCTGAATGACATCCCATATTAAGAAATTGTACTTAGTTAGGACAACCTGGCAAATTTGACACTTTCAGCTTGAATGAAGCACAGGAGGATTTTCATCCAAACAGGTTAAGTCTTTTGGGATCCTTTTCTTTTATTGGGTTCCTGGTGAGCGTGGACAGCCAGGACTACTAAGGAACTGGGGTTGAGGTGCAAGTAGAAATACTCAATTCCTTCTGTACTAGATATCATTTTTCTATGCATTTCATCGTCAGTAGGTGACTGGCATTTACCACAGCGCTCTTTCTGAATCTAAAGATCTCTCATTTATAGGAAGAGATATTCTGGCCGGTCCCAGGGATGGATAGCAAATAATTTTTTAGATTTCTTGATCTCTAAGGTGACTGTGATCTGTATCAGGAGCTCCTGAAATGCCCTAAAATCATCTGGGATCAGCATCGGTGCTGGAATGACTGTTTCATCTGGAGTTGACAGAGACAGGTCCTCTGTGGGACAAGGGTGTGGAGGAAGACTGCTGCTGCTGCATTAATACCTCTGGGTCCCACTCTTCCTGGAACTTGGGTATTATTGGAGTCAGTGATATCACTGGGGAGGAGGATCTTTTCCTTTTTTCATTAGAGGCAAGTGGTTTCTCGACACCTGGAACGATAGGCCTCAGTATTTCCAGAACGGTCAGGGCAGCATCCTGTAAACATATGGGTGGCTGGCAGGTTATTGGGGCTATCTCAGTGCCAATCCTGATGTGGTAGAGGCTAAGTCTTTAGATCCGCTGATGGATCTTATGTGGGACAGTTCTCTGCTCAATCATAGAGGACAGATGGCTGTATCTCCTCCATAGATGCCACCAATGGGTAAGACGTCAGCAGTATCAGGCTTGTGCTGGTACCAAGGAATGTCTCCAGTGCCAGGTATGGATCTGGCATAGGTTGCAGTTGTTCCTTCAGTGCCAGTACATATGTAGGGGCGCTTTGGTATCCAGCCTGGTACCAATGGTGTCACTCTTATTTTTTTCACTCATCTTAAGTGATGGGTGAGGCTTGGGGAGGAAGGGTTTTTTTCCCCCCCAATGTCTTACTGTGTCTCTCTACATAGAGCTACATACTGAGCATTTCCATGAGCTTCTGTCCCATTACTCTGTGTGACTCCAGACGGTGCCGTTTCAATGTCTGAGGCGTGATCTGAAGGTCTAGGTGAATCCAGTGCCATGGATGCTGTGTTGGCTCTTTGCTCAACCCAGAATTCTCTGCTGAGTTCTTAGGCATCATCCACCTGGTCAGTGGTGCACTGGACGGTGCAGGCTTCACTGGCATAGGGTCCTCGAACCCACGGGATTCTGATGCCGCCTTCATTGACTGCTCCAGGAGATGGAAGTTCAGTCTTGTGTGTCACTTGACTCCTGGATCCAAAAGGAGAATGAGGTGCAGTCCACCTGCTTGGGATGAGGGATTTGCCAAACCAGATCAGGTGCCTGATGTGCCCATATGCAAATGGAATCCATGTCATAAGATAAGTGAGGCATGAGGCCTGTGGATTTTAAGTCTACCACCTTCATGTCCTTGTACAAGGCAGTCTGTAGAGGGGGAGCTTGCGTCAGAGAAAATCAATCAGCTTGGGTTTTATTCTGTTCCAATACGTTAAAATAAGGAGAATGAAGGCTGTTCTAAAGAATCTTCACAAGATTTATGAAGTTTGGATGAGAATAGCCAATATTAAAGCACCAGCAAGCCAGACAGGCATTAGGTTTCATACTGCTGCACAGGCAGTAGGAGGGAACTGAGGGAGGGTCACAGCTGCCACACCTTTATGTCCTTGTATGGGAGCATGAAGAGGCTAAGGATGCATGAGTGGCCCCACCGCTAGCAAAAAGAATATATAGCAAGATCCACACCAACACACACACAAAGAACTTTCAGATACTTTTTCTTTGCTTTGATAAAATTAAAACAGCATCCCATTCTCTATGATTACAAAGGCCCTGATCCTACAATATGGAAGTAAATAGGAATTTTGCCTTTGATTTCGGTAAGAGTGGATGAAGCCTAAAAGGCACTGGGAAGAAGGCATTCATGGAAAGCCTGCACAGACAATCCTATCCACAGGAGACACTGGGGTGTTGTGCAGGTGGGGGCATGGCCAGCAGCTTCGTGACTATATGGGTCCACTATTCAAAACCACTAAAAACAGAGTGCGGGGGCACAGATGCTGTGGACTCTATTATAGTCCATGGGCTATTGTAATCCTCTTCCAAAGTTCCTTCAGCATTGGAGAGAGGATTCCATCCTTCTCACACCTCACACAAAAACTCCTATTTACTCACAGCCCATGCAATCAGGTTTTAAGTAAAAGGATTTTAATCACAAAAGAAGAATATATGCTTTCAACTCTTCAAAGAAATTTTATTTTGATGCTAAATTATTTTCCCCATCTCCAGAAATATACCCTTTCCGCTATATTTTAATGATGATTTGATTTATTTTAATGGAGAGATGTGGAAAATAGAGATGTAGCTGGCATCATTCTCACGATGGAGCAGGTTTATGTGGTATAAACATCTAAGTAATATATATCTTTTATTTAACACACTGCAACATCACTCTCCTTTTCACTGCTTCACGTGGATAAACATTTTATCAATATAAAGGGATAAAATAATGCTAATTGCGTATGAATGTGCAACTTTTTATTACTGCATATGCTCACCATTTTTAAAAAGTGAATTTTAAGAAAAGCCAGCTACAAAGAAAGTATCCATATGTACAGTCAACTTTAAAAATTACTTCATACAAAAATATGAGGCCATTCTGTATGCTCAGTTATGCTGAAATTATTTTAAGCTGACTATATTTACTATGTGTAAAGTATTTTGAAGATGAAAAGCATGATATAAATGCTTGTTAGTTTAGCTGTCACTAGTCAAACTTGCTAAAGAACCTCAACCATGTGCTATTAATATTTTAACTGTATGTTTATCTATAGTCATTGATGCATTCATGTTGCGTGTTCATGTCATTAAAAACATTCCTGTAATGCACATATAGAAGCAGAGTAAAGGTTGCTCTTAATATTTTCTGACTTTTTCCAGTTCACATATCATGTTATTTTAACATATTTGTTTCAAGTTAAAATGTATACAACTGAATATTCTGAACATTTATAAATAAACATCAGGTTCATTTAAATTATGATTCTCTATATTTTCCTTCTCTCCTGCAATAGAACATTGTAATGTAACAGTTACCTTCTTTAGCCTGACAATCTCAGCCTCATCCTTACGAATTGTCTCCTTCAACATGTGGATCTTGTTCACTAACTTTTGTAGCTGGCCACGACTGTATTCAAGCTGAATGCTCAGTCGTGTCTTCTGGTTTTCAAACTCCAGTCTGGCCAAACATAATGTAATAACATTATTTTTGGCCAACACTTAGAAATCAGTAGCACTGATTTAAAAGTGTTCATAAAAAAAGACTGCAAAGCAAATGTACCCCATTAATTTTTACTTCAGAATAACTGAATATAAATGCAAAAAGCATACCAAATTTAACAGGATAATTTAGACACAGGATGACCATTGCAAAATAAGTATGCAATCCAGAAATGAAGTATCTTGCAGATATACTGAAAATCGTAACAAAAAACCCACACTAGTCCAGAGTATACTGATGACTACTTCCACAAACATTTTGTCCCTTCAGAAACAGAAGTGACACAAAGTTTAATCCTTCTCGCTTCTCAGTACAAGGTACGTACTCATGACCAATATAGAAAGCTTCTCCTTTTACTCTTCTGTTATTAGCTGTTTAAAACCACCCTCCTCTGAACCCCCAATTCTCAGATCTAAAACAAGGATTTAAAATGGAGCATGTCCGCTACTCTAAAGTTTAAAATCCTGTTCAACTATGAACCTGTACAAGTATTTGAATCTCAACCACATGCAAGGGAAGTGTTTTGTCCTCTAAATTCCTAGATGACAACATATCAGAATGTCCGACTCAATAACCTGGGTGCAGAAAAGGAATTGGACTCTGTTACTGGGAATCTGTACTGGAATACAGGCAAGGATGATTTGCTGTTAACAACTCTAAGGTCCATGAATCACTGTCTGCTTGACTGAGGAGATGATACAAAAATGAACAGTAATCTTTATTTCAAGTTTTTAGTCTATAAGATAATAAAGGAAAGACTTCATATCCAATCCTGGAACAGGACACCAGTCTCCAGTGCTTCTGACTCTCCTCTTTGAGAAAGAAACTTGTCCTTTGTCACCTAAGTATGTGAATGAAATCCCTATTGTTGATGTTACCAATTTGAAAATATCTTGTTTGAAGTTCTAATTTCGTCATCGGGTGCTTCCTATATAGAAACATTACATCCTTACATTTGGTTCTCCTTTGAAATGTGTGACCTCGTGTAGTGAGGCAGACTGGCCTCCACTACACCTTGATTAATAGTGTTAATGTTTTCACAAATGTAATGATAAAGCCATTTCTCTGGGCAGTTTTTAGGCTATTATTCTTGCTTATTGCTATATTATATATGTAGTACTGTAATAATGTCAAATGTACAGTATTAGTAATATATTCTTATCTAACCAGTTAGTTGTGAAACACCACTGTGGACTAGTATTGCAGTTGGTGTAGTAGCCCCAGACAGACAGTATACCTAAGCTAACTCCCAGTAATAAACACATTACCATATTGTTAGGATTGCTAGATATGTTATGATGGAGAAAATCTGACACCTTGCAGTAACTCTCTTGGGCCTTGGCATAGTTACTGTCGGAAGGATCGCAATTACTAAATTACCGGTGTACTTGTTTTGATAATGCATACAGCAGTTTTCATTTGTTTGAAAAAACACCTTTTTCTGTCAGTTTCTTCCTGCAGTTTCACACGTTCTTGCTCAAATACACGAATATTCTCTACCCCAATTTCTTCACAGAAGTCCTGGAATACAGCATCTTCAACCTTTAAACAAACAATCCAAACAAACCACTTAAACCTTTTTTATAAAATGATGCCTCTTACGTGAATTTAAAACAGTTTATTTTTTATATATTGGGCAAAATTTTGAAGAAGTTTTAGAAACACAATGTATTTTAAAGCTGCTGGGAATTTACTTGCACTGGGAATTTTCAAAGTGGGTGTGAAGTCCAAATAACTACACAGTGCAGGTGACCTTCAGAGGATGAGGAGAGGAATCCCTACTTTAGCCATTTGTGCCAGAGCAGGAGCAGTGTTACTCCAGAGACAATTCAAGATATCAAACTGGAACATTAGCCTCATACTCCTACCCATGGCTCCCACTCTCTATGGGGAAAGAGAAGGCTACAGGGTATGCAGAGCTGCTGATCCTCCAGGCCCATTCCTGCCACTAAACTCTTTTGCAAAGCTAAGCTCTGTGCCACAGAGGAGAGTGCTTATTCCCTGTTAGAAATCCTACTCCCTTCTCTACATTGATACAGTGGAATCACACCAGTACACCTACCACAGGTTACTCTTACTGACAAAGGAAAGAGCAAAAAACTTTCCCCAGACTAGAAAATGGATATCTACAAACCCACACATATGACCCAAAATTAATAAACAGATAAATGAGTTTTAGATTTGGAAAATTATGCTTACAAAGTTCAAGGGACAATGGGACACATACAAATACAGTGAGTATTCCATTTTGCACCTATCAGAGGAACAAAATTTAAAAAACATGCAGCACAAGCTAATATGGATCTCTAAGAAAAATAAAAGCTCTTACAAACAGCTGAGAGTTAAATGTATTGCCCAAAACTACATAATTTATAAACACATCAATATCCAGTCTTATTTAACACCATCAATAGATACACTATTCTTAGGAAATACTTAATCTACATTTTCTTTTGCTATAAAATCAAGCACTACATTATTTGCACAGGAAATGATGACAACATGCTTGGAAAATGTGCTTTTGGTGAGAACTGTATTTCAACTATCAAGCCCTGTATAGTTGACTCAAGAACTCAAGTAACTAAGTAACCTGTTTTTATAGGTAGTGAGATACAAAAAGTCAATTAATTTTTTAAAATTGAAAAAAAAAATCTAAAATAATTTCTATGTGGCATATAAAAATGCTTAATTTTATGTAAAAAGCGACAGAGTCCTGTGGCACCTTAAAGTCTAACAGACGTATTGGAGCATAAGCTTTCGTGGGTGAATTCCCACTTTAACATGCATCTGATGTCCACAAAAGCTTATGCTCCAATACGTCTGTTAGTCTATAAGGTGCCACAGGACTCTGTCGCTTTTTACAGGATTCAGACTAACACGGCTACCCCTCTGATACTTAATTTTATGGTGTGACAAAGGGTTGAGATGATCCACAGAGACATGTGTGAGCATTGCAATAATCTCAAATAGATGCAAATAAAACCTTTATATTATACCGCCATGAATTCTGATATATAGAGAATATTTTCTTCATGGTGGCAAACACTATAGTTAAGCTTGAATTCCAGTTTCTGTTTTAATATTCCTTTAATAAAGTAATTCCCTTTGGATTGAAACCTTCTACATTTTGTCTCAGTCCCAAAGTGAATATTTTCTTGAGTCTCAGCAAAATTGCTTTAGCATATTTTTAAAGTTACTTGAGCAGAGGAAATTTTCCCCTCCTTATTCCAAAGGAAACTGTAGTGTTTATGTAAATGAAAAAAGGCCACCTGAAACTTGAAACTGCAAATTAGTTTTATTTTGTTCTACATTACTCTCTTAGGGAGCACAAAATTCTGGTTTGAATAAAAATGATTCAGTATTTTAAGGTTACGAACTGATAACATGGGATGTTGGAACACGCATATTAAAATATTTTAATTTTTAGGATATCATCACTGGTAGAATAGTATAGCATGCTGCATGTTCCCTGGAGTGCTTTAGCACATCTATAGACTATAGCTACTGTTCAGACACTAAAGGTTTAATAATTGCATGAGTTCACTCTCAACCCTACAGAGAAGTTGCTGAAAGCCATTTATAACTCCATAATTTGTCATGAACATTATAGAACGTGTTACCTCATTCATTTTCTTTTGAAACTCTTCAATTTTCTCTGTTCTTTGTAAAAGTCCTTCATTCAGCATAGCATATTGTGATTTAATATTTACTAACTCACTTTCCAGCTTAGATTTTTCCTAATTACAAAGAGGAAGAAGGAAATAAGTATTTGTATTGGTTTCTTTAAACAAAATGAATGATATTCTAACTATTAATATATGCTTCTGACACTATGGCTATTTATCTTGTGTTGAGTTAAGAAGTTACAACTTTTTTTCTGAAATCACTATTGTTGATTTAAGTGTAATGGCTACAATTCTATAGAATGGAAAGCAAATTACAAATAAATGTACCAGCTAAGACTTACTGAGTCATGCATCATTTTTGGGGGGGCTACTATGTATCAAGTTTAGCTGAGTGTCAAGCTCATTTTTTTTTTACACCAGTAACACCTCCTAAAGGAAAGCCTCATTGCTTTAATATAGTACTTAATCTTGTTCTCTAATTTTATTAATTCTCTAATCATAACCACTATTTGCTAAATATAATTCCAACAACTACACAAAGAAGATTAATATAAGATCTACTAAGCTTGTGGATATTGTATTGAGTATTAGCTACAATGTTTATTAAGCATAAAAATTATAACCTAAGATCACAAAAACCAGAGGAAAAAATAGGAGCTTCGTTATTCTGTACTACCTTGTAGAAATTAGCAAGGTGTTTCTTTTTAATATTCTCTAATTCGCTCTGCGAATATTTGAGCCGAGTCTGAATTCCCTGGCACTGTGCCTGTAACTGTTTCAAGTCAGTCTCCTTACGTTTGATCTTCATTAATTCCTAAAACAGATTTCAAAAATGGTCTGAGAAAATATACATAAAATGTATGTTTTAAAAACAGAAGTCTACTTCATACTCAAAAGTAAATTGCTCTAATCACAGGCCAGAAAAAAAATCTTTATGATCATAAATGACTTCCATTTAACAGGGTGTCTAATTAGACAAATTTAGCAAAGTTAAGCCAGCTGACCACAATCGAGTTAAGTTTTGATGGTGTGGGGTATATTCGAAAATGCTTTTCAAACAATGGTTCACTTTCTAGTGTAAAACGGCATAAATTGATAAATTACTGCTCTGGTCCTCCCAACAAAATCTATAGGGAAGCTATGAAACCAAGTTTTACAGTCACAATTCATGAAAGATTGTTCTCTGTTGCATGCTAATAATTTTGTTCTCACTAGTCACTTGACTATAGCAATGCCTCAAACAGCTTCTCTGATGAAAGACTCAAAGTGCTCCTACCATACCACAACACTTTCTATAGCAAAACTAGCTCTTAACAGTTAGGCAGTTCTCCATCTATGTAATCCACATAGAAAGTAGCTTGGTCTCATCTCCCCAGAAATAGTAAACTAGCCACTAGATGGGGAAACAAAACTACACTGTTAGTATGGGTTACAGATAAATAAATGAATGGCTCAGCTGCATGCAGTCACACTGCATTCCCTCTTGGAACAAAGGTATCAGGCAGGCAGTACTTCCGACCAACAAGCCACCTCCATCCTGCATTAAAAATAAAATTATCAGGAATGAAATAAATTAACTTGAAATTAAAAGTTGACAAAAACTGAATAGTTCCTCAGACTGTCTTCCCATTCATGACTTTTATTCCATTTTTGCCTTTAGTGTTAAGATATTATTGCCTATTTAATGGACTTACCTTTAGTTCATTAACCAACCTATCCCTTCTTTCTTTCATTTCTTTCATCTCTTTTTCATCCCAGTATCTAGCTTTAAATTTCAAGTCACTTGACCCTCCAGAGATAACTCCAGATTTCAAAAATAAAGTTCCATCAAGAGAGACTGTCTGAAAATTAAAGACATTTTCTTTTCTTTAATGAACAATACTACTAAGTTGGGTTAGGAATTGTACATCTGCAATACTCTAGCAGCTAATGGACCAAGATCTGAGCAAACAAGCGCATGTAACGACATATATATAAGTAACCTCCATACTTAGTTGGACCATGTCCCAAAACCCTTGTTTACACAGAGGTATACTGAGCAAGCTACAGAAGTATGTAACTGACACAAGTAGTGTTATTTTGCAGTGAGTAATGTTTTAATATAAATTAGCATTATAGCCTATTGGAAATTAATCCCATGAACAGGAAATGGGATTTTTATACATTTTATATTTACATGGTTGGAACCCTTAATTATTCATTTTCAGATATTCTAAAAGTTGGGTCTTTAAAAAAGTATACTTATTTTTGGGTGTCAGCTGGATAACAAGTGAAACATACTTTCCATCTTCATTTTTCAACTCAAAACTACTTAAAGATTTTTTTGTTTAGGATTATTCTTGTTTTTGAATGAGCAACAAAAATTTAAATCAGACTGGTACAGAAGGTCCACAGGAAGAAAGTGTTGTTTCAAAAGATTTAACGTAGACTATCAAAGCAGGGCTCCCATTCTGTAGACTTTAACAAGTCTTCAGAAGGTATGTGACCGGGAGCTACCCCCATGTACCATTGTGCTGTATAATCGTCAGTGGAGAGGAACTGCAGAATGAAGTAGGGAGACTTTCAACCATAATGCAAACTTTTGCCTGCACCTCCCACACATGCTCACACAGAAAACCCTCAAGAACATATGAAGGTACTTCTCTGCATGAAAGCCAATAAAACAGATTTTATGTTTCTCAGCCAAACATTTTAAATATAACAAGCAAAAGGAATAAAAGGAGCATTTGCAAAAGAGTCCTTTTCTAACTTTTTCCCTCCGAGCTTCCCAGAAAAATTCCACACTGGAAAGAGATGGGTTATGTGAAATTTCAGGGAATTTAGTTTCTTTCTGTGTAAGTTGGCAAGAGCAATATAACGACAGTTTTTAGTTAAGTCATATTTTGTAGGATATTTATAGAACAAGTTATTTCAAATGGTATTAAACATATCATTGCAATCCACATGATGAAAAAAACATATGAAACAAAATTCAGTTTCTTACTTTCAACCTCACTGGTCCATCAAATGCTATCTGTCTTGCTTCTTTAACAGTTTCACAGACCAGACCATTCCCACATACAAACTGAATCACTTTTTTCAGGGGTGTAAATGGAGTCTGTACAACATCAATCATCATTTTAGATCCTTTTATCTCCCTTAATTTTTCATTGATGGGCTTAATCTAAAAAGCAAAAACAATCTTCTGGAGAAGTAGCTGAAATAATGTGATTGGCCAAACCGGACAGTCTCTACACAAAAGAATTAATGGACACAAATCTGACATCAGGAATCATAACACTCAAAAACCAGTATGAGGACACTTTAACCTGTCTGGTCATTCAGTGACAAACCTGTGGGTGGCAATTTTGCAACAGAAAAGCTTCAAAAACAGACTCCAACGAGAAACTGCTAAACTGGAATTGATATGCAAACTAGATACAATCAACTTAGGCTTGAATAGGGACTGGGAATGGCTGAGCCATTACAAACATTGAATCTATCTCCCCTTGTAAGTATTCTCACACTTCTTATCTTGATTATCACTTCAGAAGTTTTTTTCTCTTACTTAATTGGCCTCTCAGAGTTGGTAAGACAACTCCCACCTTTTCATGGTGTGTGTGTGTGTGTGTGTGTGTGTGTGTGTGTGTGTGTGTGTGTGTGTGTTCCATTCTATGCATCCCAAGAGGTGGGCTGTAGCCCACGAAAGCTTATGCTCAAATAAATTTGTTAGTCTCTAGGTGCCACAAGTACTCCTGTTCTTTTTGTGGATACAGACTAACACGGCTGCTACTCTGAAACCTGTCGTAATGTGATACAAGTACTTTGGTGGGATAGTATACTGTATGAATAAAATTAACAACAAACATCCATATTTTCGCTCATACTTGTGCCTTCTGACAAGACAAAATTTACATTTATTAAAGTAAATAAAAACTGGACAAAACATGCATTAAAGTAACATTAAAAATCTACAATCAAAGATGCATACAAATTTATGGCCTGAGCTACCCCGGGCCCGCTACGAGGAGGAGCCGCCGGAGCCCGTTCACGCCCGCCACTGGGAGAATCCCTGGGAACCGCACCCCACTAACCCTGAGGGTGAGACTGGACCCGAACCCCTTCGCCCCTGCTGCTATCCCGAGGAGCCGCCTGAGGACCATTGGCCGGACTTCCCGGCAGAGCTACCGGACTTGCCGCCGAGCCCGGGCCGAGAGGAGCCCATGCAGATGGACTGGCCCGATCCTGGCGCGACGAATGAGGTAGGCTTTGAGGGGGATCATGGAAGCAGCCCGGGGGTAGCCGACCCCGGTCTGGCTGTAACAGAGTGTGAGCCTATGTCAGTGTGTTGCGGTCTGGATACCCCACTGACCAGCAGCGGCAGCAACCGCTGTTAGGGCCCCGGGCTGGAACGCAGTGGAGTGGGTGGGCCTGCGTTCCCCCCTGCCACCCTCCGCACGGGTGGCAGGCTTCCCCCTCACCCACCGCTCGGCTACGGAAGCCTAGGCGTGCCTTATTTGAACTATTTGCTCGCTCAGCCCCTGCAAACAAGGGCCTGAGCCTAACTGTGTTTGCCCCGCCCTGATCCAGGGCCTGGGCTTTGAACTATTTGCCCGCTCAGCTCCTGCAACAAGGGCCTGAGCTAACTGTGTTTGCCCCGCCCTGATCCAGGGCCTGGGCTTTGAACTATCTGCTCGTTCAGCTCCCGCAACAAGGGCCTGAGCTAACTGTGTTTGCCCCGCCCTGATCCAGGGCCTGGGCTTTGAACTATCTGCTCGTTCAGCTCC